ATTAGAATTGATCCCAGGGTCTGCCCCACCCTTGCAGACTTGGCCCCTGGGTCATAACTTTGAAACGGTTGAGATCCCCACCCCAAAACTATATATACAAATGCTTCGCAAAAAGAGACAAATGCAGTCACGATATTAGAATCGATCCTGGGGTCTGGCCACAACTCTAGGGACCTAGTTTCTGAGTCAAAGCTTTGAAACAGTTGAGATCCCCACCCCATAACCATACATAAATTTGCTGGGCATGAAAAATCTAATATAGCTATGCTACAAGGATTGGCCTTGTGGTCTGGCATATTCCCTTGATCTCATTTGGAGGATGGTTTGCCATGATTGCTTAGGTATCCAGGTGAGCGATACAGGCCCTCTGGGCCTCTTGTTATATTTTAGGGGCCAAATACAGCTTAATTGGGCTTAGTTAAATTTGTGGTTAAAGTCTTTTGGCCAGTTTTTAACTCACCTAGCCCGAAGTCTAAATGAATAGCCTTCACCATTTTCAAGGTCACAGGGGTAAATTGTCTTAAAAATCTTTATACAACTCTTTCTGAATAACTAAGAGGCCTAGGATAATGATATTTGGCCAGTAACATGCTAGGATGAAGGGCTACCAGGTTTGGTCAAATTAATGACCTTTACTTATATTCAAGGTCACAGGGGTCAAATATGATAAAACCTTTTGAACAACTTGTTCTCAATAGCCAAAAGGCCTATGATGATGCTATTTGGCCAGTAGCATGCTGTGATGAATCTTTAGGGCTACCATGTTTATTCAAATGAATTACCTTGACTTATATTCATAAGTACAAACTCCAACACCAAGCCATACCTCACACATAACAAGCTAAACATAAGTATATTAACTCCAACACCAAGCCATACCTCACACATAACAAGCTAAACATAAGTACAAACCCCAACACCAAGCCATACCTCACACATAACAAGCTAAACATAAGTACAAACCCCAACACCAAGCCATACCTCACACATAACAAGCTGTACATAAGTATAAACTCCAACCCCAAGCCATCCCTCACACATAACAAGCTGTACATAAGTACAAACTCCAATACTATGCCATACCTCACACAATGCCTCACACATAACAAGCTGAACATAGGTATAAACTCTGATAGTATGCCATACCTCACACATAACAAGCTGAACATCAGTACAAACTCCAACACAAAGCCATACCTCACACATAACAAGCTGAATATCAGTACAAACTCCAATACAAAGTCATACCTCACAATTAACAAGCTGAACATAAGTATAAACTCCAATACTATGCTGTACCTCACACTTAACAAGCTGAACATAAGTATAAACTCCAATTCAAAGCCATACCTCACACATAACAAGCTGAACATCAGTACAAACTCCAATACTATGCCATACCTCACACATAACAAGCTGAACATAAGTACAAACTCCAATACCAATCCATACCTCACACTTAACAAGCTGAACATAAGTATAAACTCCAATTCAAAGCCATACCTCACACATCACAAGCTGAACATAAGTACAACCTCCAATACCAAGTCATACCTCACACTTAACAAGCTGAACATAATTACAACCTCCAACACAAAGCCATACCTCCCACATAACACGCTGAACATAAGTATAACCTACGATAGTATGCCATACCTCACACATAACAAGCTGAACATCAGTACAAACTCCAATACAAAGTCATACCTCACAATTAACAAGCTGAACATAATTACAAACTCCAACACAAAGCCATACCTCACACATAACAAGCTGAACATAAGTATAAACTACGATAGTATGCCATACCTCACACATAACAAGCTGAACATAAGTACAAACTCCAACACCAAGCCATACCTCACACATAACAAGCTGTACGTAAGTATAAACTCAAATACAAAGCCATACCTCACACCTAACAAGCTGAACAGCAGTACAAACTCCAATCCTATGCCATACCTCACACATAACAAGCTGTACATAAGTATAAACTCCAATACTATGCCATACCTCACACATAACAAGCTGTACATAAGTATAAACTCCAATACTATGCCATACCTCACACATAACAAGCTGAACATCAGTACAAACTCCAATACAAAGCCATACCTCACACATAACAAGCTAAACATAAGCACAAACTCCAATACTAAGCCATACCTCACACATAACAAGCTGAACAGCAGTACAAACTCAAATACCAATCCATACCTCGCACATAACAAGCTGAACATAAGTACAAACTCCAATCCTAAGTCATCCCCCCCACATAACAAGCTGAACAAAAGTATAAACTCCAATACTATGCCATACCTCCCACATAACAAGCTGAACATAAGTATAAACTCCAATCCTATGCCATACCTCACACATAACAAGCTGAACATAAGTATAAACTCCAATACAAAGTCATACCTCACACATAACAAGCTGAACAGCAGTACAAACTCCAATACCAATCCATACCTCACACATTACAAGCTGAACATAAGTACAAACTCCAATACTATGCCATACCTCACACATAACAAGCTGACAAGTTTATCTTCGTCTGTAACTGTTGTACAGCTGTCAGACTGTATCCCTGTCTGTGACTGTCACACATAACAAGCAAGCTGAACATAAGTACAAACTCCAATTCAAAGCCATACCTCACACATCACAAGCTGAACAGCAGTACAAACTCAAATACTATGCCATACCTCTCTCATATCAAGCTGAACATCAGTACAAACTCCAATGCTATGCCATACCTCACACATCACAAGCTGAACAGCAGTACAAACTCCAATACTATGCCATACCGCACACATAACAAGCTGTACATAAGTACAAACTCCACTACCAAGTCATACCTCACACATAACAAGCAAGCTGAACATAAGTACAAACTCCACTACCAAGTCATACCTCACAATTAACAAGCTGAACAGCAGTACAAACTCAAATACTATGCCATACCGCACACATAACAAGCTGTACATAAGTCCAAACTCCAATACTATACCATACCTCACACATTACAAGCTGAACATAAGTACAAACTCCACTACCAAGTCATACCTCACAATTAACAAGCTGAACATCAGTACAAACTCCAATACAATGCCATACCTCACAAATAACAAGCTGACAAGTTTATCGGCGGCTGTAACTGTTGTACAACTGTCAGATTGTATCCCTGTCTATGACTGTTGTACAGCTTTCAAACTGTATCCCTGTCGGTAACTGTTGTACAGATGTCAGATTGTATCCCTGTCTTTGACTTTTGTACAGCTGTTATACTGTCTCCCCGTCTGTAACTGTTGCACAGCTGTCAGACTGGATCCCTGTCTGTAACTATTGCACAGCCGTCAGACTGTAGCCCTGTCGGTAACTGTTGTACAGGTGTCAGAATGTATATCCCTGTCTGTCACTGTTGTACAGCTGTCAGACTTTATCCTTGTCTGTGACTGTTGTAAAGCTGTCAGACTGTATCGCTGTCTGTGACTGTTTCACAGCTGTCAGACTGCATCCCTGTCTGTAACTGTGGTACAGCTGTCAGACCGTATCCCTGTCTGTAAGTGTTGTACAGCTGTTATCCTGTATCCCCGTCTGGGACTGTTGTACAGCTGACTCCAATCCTATGCCATACCTCACAAATAACAAGCTGACAAGTTTAGCTTCGTCTGTAACTGTGGTACAGCTGTCAGACCGTATCCCTGTCTGTAAGTGTTGTACAGCTGTTATACAGTATCCCCGTCTGTAACTGTTGTATAGCCGTCAAACTGTATCCCTGTCGGAAACTGTTGTACAGGTGGCAGACTGTATATCCCTGTCTGTAACTTTTGTACAGCTGTTATCCTGTATCCCCGTCTGTGACTGTTGTCCAGCTGTTATACTGTCTCCCCGTCTGTAACTGTTGCACAGCTGTCAGACTGTATCCCTGTCGGTAACTGTTGTACAGGTGTCAGACTGTATATCCCTGTCTGTAACTGTTGTACAGCTGTTATACTGTATCCCCGTCTGTAACTGTTGTACAGATGTCAGACTGTATCCCTGTTTTTAACTGTTTTACATGTGTCCGACTGGATCCCCATCTGTATGCCCCACAAACTGTACACATATGTAGGATACATGTTGGTGTCAGAGCCGGAAGTATCTGATGTATGGAAGAGTCATGTGGAGGGGAGGGGGGACTCCCTAACACAACAGGTGCTACTTAGCCCAGTCTCCTGTCTAAAATGAACCAAGCATATCAAAATCTGGTTATTGGGAATATAAAAAACAGCACCAAACCAAGCATAATCCTACATCGATGCACGTCGTCCGTAAAACTTTTACATTTTCAACTTCTTCTCAAGAACCAGATGATAGATTTTTTTCAAACTTGGTCAGAATCATCCTTGGTAGATAAGGCTACAAAATTGTAAAATTGTGATTCCTATCCAAACCCCTGGGGCCAGGGCGGGGCCCCAAAGGGAAAATTAACCAAATTTTCAAAAATCTTCTTCTCCAGACTCAGAGGTACTACAGTCATTTTCTCTGCATGGAAAGAAAGATCATCAGTGGCTTTACTTAAATTGTAAATTTCAGGACCCCCGAGCTATCCGTTCTCTCTTTGGGAGGGGGTAAAGCTTACTATAGTTTTATATAGGGAAATAACTCTTTTGGGTATATTTTATCCCTTTTCAGCAGAAAATTACTCAAACTTTAAGTTAGAATCATCTTTGGTGAATGAGAGTATTACATTGTAAAATTGGGATTGTATTTCACTTAGTTTACATGCTGATTTCCACATCACATCTATACAATAAAATAAAGCTACCAGTACCTATGGTATAACTCAGGTGACCGCTAAGGCCCTTGGGCCTCTTGTTTTTAGCTCACCCGGCGTCAATATTTTACTTTAAACGACTTCTTCTGAAGAACAAAAATGTCCAGGGTGATTTTATTTGGCCAGTAGCATGCTGGGATGAAGGGCTACCAAGTTCGTTCAAATAAATGACCTTCACCCATTTTCAAGGTCACATGGGTCAATTGTCTTAAAACATCTTTAAACAACTTCTTCTCAATAACCAAGAAGCCTAGGATGATGCTATTTGACCAGTAGCATGCTGGGATAAATGGCTACCAAGTTTGTTCAAACAAATGACCTTCATCTATTTTCAAGGTCACAGGGGTCAAATATGTTAAACATTTTTAGGTCACCTGAGACAAAGTCTCAAGTGACCTATTGCGATCGCCTTTTGTCCGTCGTCGTCCGTCCGTCGTCCGTCGTGCTTCCGTAAACAATTTACATTTTCGACTTCTTCTCCAAAACCCCTGAACCAATTTCAATGAAATTTTGCAGGGACCTTCCATGGACAAAGGTCAACAAAAATGGTTGCCGGTTTAGTCCTAAGCCCCCAGGGGCCTGAGGGGCGGGGCCAAAAAGGGTCAAATTGACTAAAATTTCAAAAATCTTCT